TAGCTTATGGTTTTCTGTTTTTCTCTTATTGGGTTTATAATCTTGTTGAGGGTCTCTTTTTCTCTTTTGTGGTTTACAATAAAGTCAAAAACGGAAACACCATAATATTTCCTTCCAAAGTATTGACTTATTCGTCGTAAAAATGCGGCGAAGGGCCCGCGTTCACCTACAGATAAATGAATAATTTATTAAATAATTTATTGCCGATATTTGTGGATAATTTGCAAAGACAGTATGAGACAAATTACTGGGGTAATTTTCGTGACAGGTTTCGATTTTTTCGATGAATTCCCGCTTCGCAGTTTGTCTACTATTGTAAATTGATTTTGTTTCTTTGTGTCGGCGCCACGGTCAGAGCACATATCAATTAATTTTTTGGCTTGCTTAGTTTATGGCTTCCTGGATTATCGGTTATAATAGGACTCCACCGTTCCGTGTCACGAACCACACATTATGTATCTACATGGCGAATCTGTCCAATCCTTGTTCTTTCTCATCAACCACAACAAGTAATATGGCAAAAGCAATAATCACTGAAAAATTAAATTTCATAATAAAGGCAAGGCCACAGCGTGTTGAACAAAGGAGGGGGAAAATAACTTTAGTTTGGTGATTAATTTTTGATATTACCAAGTGACGATGGGCAGCAAATGATCTTTATTTTGTAAAGAATTAATTTTAAGCTGCAACAAACCGTACTTGCAACGCTCCCCTACAGAAAGGTGAGGCGATATTAATTAATATTTTATTACATGCAGTTTCAAAGGAAATTATCAACAAGTATGGTTTCGGGACGCTTTCTGACAAGACCAATCTGTGACAGTGGCCCTGTGATATATGCCAGTGAACCCTCATACTAAAAGGCAGTTGGAATTCTAACAACAAAATCCTTCTTTTCGTAAACTTGCTTTATTTATTTCTGTCAACAAATATAAGAAACTAAAATGTGACTCTAACCAGTCATCTTAGATGGTAGTCGCATACAGGTCGCTACGTATGTAAATGGTTTGACGATATGGGCGGCCATCGCCAACATCGCGTTCATCGCCAACATCGCCAACATGAAAAATGAAAACAAAATTAAATTTAAAATATAAATAAATTAAAAAAACAAAGAATAAAAAATAAATAAATAGAAATACAGGATAACACAAATAATTTAAGACAAAAAATAAAAGAATGAACAAAAAACAATCAAAAATAAATAAAGTGAAGGATGAATAAAATGAGAAAAGATCAAACTATGAAACTTAAAAAAATAAGAAATAAACACCATAAAATATAGGTAATTAAAAGATAAATTAAGAAAAGAGAAGAAAAAGTGAAAAAAGAGAATTCTATGACAAATGACAAAACAAACCTGATTTATTATTTTAAAGAAGTAAAAAAACAATCTCGCAAAACAAAATTGTAACTTGCAAGACAAAGTTGTATCTCACAAAACAAATTGTATTCTCGTAAAATAACTGACCTACTACGAACTATGGTGTACTATTTACGAAAAACATTTCTCTCTCTCTTTAGCCTCCCTCCAGGCGACGCAACTATACGCTGCGACGGCACGACGGCTCCCTTGCGTCATGCCGCCGGGTCGCACCGTCGCCTTCTTGCCATTACGTTTGTACACACACGCGTCATGCCGTCGCCCGTCTCGTCGTGCTGCCTTAGGTCCTTTCCATGTTGCACTTTTTGATCACTTAAACGTCGCCCCTTCCGTCGCGTCGTACCGTCGTGCGTCGCGTCGTACGTCGTGTCGTGCATCGCGTCGCCTATTACGTCGCCGTAAGCACGACGTGACGCACGACACGACGCACGATGCGACGCGTCGTGTGTGTACAAACGTAATGGCAAGGAAGCGACGGTCTGACCCGACGGCACGACGCAAGGGAGCCGTCGTGCCGTCGCGTAGTGTAGTTTTGTCGCCTGGAGGGAGGCCAGAGAGAGAGAGAAATGTGGGTCGTAAATAGTACACCATACTGAAGAGCGTGTGCTTGCACATCGCTCTGGCGTACATGCACGTACGCTCGTATAATGTAATCTTACTTAATTTTGTGTTCGGGGTCTTTTGACCAGAAATTTTAAACCTCAAAGGATGTTTCTTTTGTTTCTGGCACCATTTCTCTACTCTCCATCCACTCCACATCCCTCCATGAAAATTACTGCGAAAAGGAACCATAATTAAAGCCCTTTACTTAGAACCAGGTACGTTTCACCACTGACCTCAATTTACAGAGTACAAACAACATGCAGTATGGAATGGCAGTTGAAATTGAATCAGCATATTACAGACAGGCTTTTCTTCGTGTACTTGTGCAACAAACTGTAACATGTCGTCTGTCCTAATGGAAGTCCTTCATAGTTACAGAAACCTACATAGAAAAATATGCCGTATATGCAGAATGCACATGTACTACACATGGATTCGTTTCAATTCTTATAACAGCAACATTTAACTTTAAATAAAACTTGTTTTTGTTTTTGTACTAAACATGAAGACATTCATGACAG